TGTACACACAGGTGAAAGCTGAGCTGAACACTTACGACCTGTGCACTGTGCTGTCTGCAGTGAGCTACACTGAGCAAAACATAAAAATTACAGCAGTGTGGTCGCTGTTGTGACAAGTTCACGGGGCGCGCTCTGTGGAAGGCAGCTCTGGACGAAGGCCGAGGCTTCGGGGGCTTGTGGGGAGCGCGAGGGAGGCTTGTCCACATCTGGAGAGACTGGACCTCAGGCCGTGAGCGCACTGAGCCCCCTGGCAAATGGCACTGGGGAGGCCGCCTGGGAGGCCCCGAGACGCTGGCCGGCCTCCGGCTTCCAGCTCAGCCAACATCTGGCCAAGGCCACAGAGACTCTGAGCCAGAGCCGCCCAGAACCTCCTAATTCCAGACCCACAAGCCCACGAGTGACGTGGCATGGTTGTCAAAAGCCACCAGGTTTGGGAGGCTCCCTGGAGCTCGGCCCTCACCCCCCTTGGCCTCCCCTCTGCCAGACACCCTGGGACCCAAGTGTGTTCATGGCACTATCTGTTGTTGGAAAAAGCACCATTTATGTGTTTTGAACCCAGTTTAAACATAACAGGACGCCTGTAAATACTCAGAGGGAGACGAGCACGTCCTACGCCTGTCAGAAAGTCAGGTTGTGAAATTGAACCGTTGTTGTCAGAGATAACGATCTCGCCCTGAAACTGAAGCCTGGAGGAACAGTCGAGGCGTCTGGCTGCCCTGCAAACTGACTGCGGAGACGGTGCCGCAGCCTCTGCCATCCCTCCGACTCCCTCACTTGACCTGTTTTAACCCCAAAATCAGTGCTCAAAAGGCAGCCCCTGGTCCCCTGGTGTGAGCTGGGACTCGGAAGGGCAGGCGCAAGCAAACATGGCCCTGAGCTCACGCGGAAGACGAGAACACAGAGCAGGAGTGAGAACGTGACCATTCTTTGAGGGGGCTCAGCGTCCAGATCAGAGGGTCAGAGGAAGCCTGGGGACAGGATGGCCAACACCCAAACTTACCTGTGAGGTTCTGAAGACCCCAGCATGTCCGCCTCACACGTCCACATGTAACTGCCCTTGAAGAGCCTCAGGGCGAGCTGGCATGTGGGCCGGCCGGCAGCCCTGAGCGGCCACCCCTCCGAGTGCTGGGTCTGAGTGTCCGGGGGCCCCTGGGACACAGCAGCACACATATCAGCGGGATTTTATTCTCCTATTT